AGGTAGCTACAACACCAACAACGCAAATGTGGAGTGAATCTATTTCCTTAAGAATTAGCGTAACTGTGACAATTTGTAAGAAAATGCTGAACTCAGAAAAAAGCAAAAGCAAAACCAAAATGAAACAAAACAACTGATAATCAAACCTGGTTGAAAGTAAATGTTCAAGGAAGACTTACTCAAGGAGGCTGAGGCAAGAGGATCTCTGGAGCCCAGAATGTTGAGGCTGCAGTGAGCCACAGTCGTGCCACTGCACTCCAGCTTGAGTGACAGAGTGAACCCTTTCTCCAAAAAACAAAAAAAGAAAGAAAAAGAAAGACTTGTTCCTTACTAAGAATCAAAGTGCCAAAAGAGGAGAATAACATGAAGGGTTAGGACTAATTGCTCTCTTCTCTCTATTGTCACCCTTTGAACCTCTTCTTTGGAATGTATTGATAAAATTTTACAAAAATACAAGATTTGACGTTATTCCACATGTCCACAAAAACCTATAGAAAACCCAAACCAAAAGATTCACTGTAACAGATAAACACTAATAAAATGGTTAGAAAATAGTTCAGCAAAGGAGAGGAAGTCAGAGAATTCAAGAAAGAAAAAAACAAAACGTTATCCTAGTGATGAGAGGCTCTTGGCACTTACAATTTTCCATTTGAAATTTCATTCTCCCACTGTGGATTCTGAGAGCTGTCTAACACTTTTGAACAGATTCTAGGTTGGAAAGCAAGGAAAAAAAGTTTTCCATTCAAAGTTTCCACCTTTCAAATCTATTTCCATTTCTTCATTTGGCACAGCCAATATTGGATCTGGGTCTTAGTTCCACGTCCATCTGGGGGAGTCATTTGGCCAAAATAAGATGGTTAGCAAATTTTTCCCAGATAATTTACATTACATATTATGTGGCAATTTTGTCCACGTTTAAGAAGTACATTTTCAAAGGGACTGGAAACATAAAGTCAAGTACTTATCAGTCATATTAATTTTTGCTGATGAAAACCTTCTACGTGCTTTTACATGTCATCTTGCTATGTTATCCTCAACACCACCCTGTTTAGAAGGTAAGATAGGATGATGTATCATGCCAGGAACTCTTATCTGAGAGATGCTTGAACAGTGCTTTCATCTAAGGGAAGAGCATGCCCTCCTTACTCATATCTTTCTGCATGTTCTGCCAAACTTCATGAGCTGGGTACACAGATGACATCTAATGCAGTATAGGAGGGGCCATCAGTGCATCCACCTTAACTCATTCAGGGGTTCTGTCACTGCCATGTGTGAGTCCCAGCAGTAAGAGTGAATGATGCTGTCAAACAAGAGCCAATATTCAGGACGACTGACATTTCACCCTAACATCTAGAGTCTTGGTGGCTTCGCTGCAATTATGTTGAGAAATAATACGCCTCCCACCTCACAGATGGACACAAGCTTCTCTGCAGCTCATGCCAGATGATGGCCAGGACTCTCCTATCAAAATAAATGGATATCAAAATCACCTTCCAGGAGGAGCATGAGACATGGGACTACTAACAAGGAAGTGCAGGATGGTCAAGGATCTTCAGACAATCATTCTGGGAAGCTTGAGGTCATGGTTAGAGCTTAGAACGGGGACTTTGAGAATTGACTGCAAATCCTGCTCCATTACAGACAAGCTTTTGACTTTGGAAGAATCTCTGATTTCCTGATGAAAATGGAGAATCTGAGCCAGACAATTTCCAAATTCCTTTCCAATTTCATCTCAAAAAACAGAATCACTGAAAACTGAATTTGTTCTGCAATGTGCAGTTGACATAACAGGAATTGTTACTTCCTCAACAAAACATCATACTTCTACTTTTAAAATAGAATGGAATATAACCCCATTACCATGACAAAGACTGGTCATAGCCATCCTAACACAACCAGACTAGATGCAAGAACTGTTGCAGCAAGGAAGGAAGCCTAGGATCAAAAGAATTAACAGACGTTCTGACCTACAAATTCAGTGTGGAGGCTGCCACTGTGAGGAGGCGAATTAGCTGCTCTGGGCTTCAGTCTGAGGAGAACAACAGAGCCATTCTCTTGAGTGGGACATCAGGATCCCAGACAGGGGCAGTCATGCCAACGTAGCACAGAAAATCTCATTTGGATAGATGATTAATTTCATCCATGAGAGAGAAAAGAGATTCGGGGCGTTTGACTCCTGGGCATATTTGGGTGGAAGGAGACTGTATAGTGATAAATGAACAATTGCCAAACTTGTAACTAAAACATGCATTCTTTTTAATAGCTTCATGTATTGCTGAATCGGGTAGGGGAACCAGTGCTGATGGAAGCATATTTCTCATCCAAATGTATATAGTATCCTCTCTCACTTTTCAGTGTCTGCAAAGTCCCTTGGGAACCAGGCTTGGCATTGTGACTTGGGCTGGCTGCATTTGGCTGGGGAACAATTCTGGAACCAACACGCCAGTTGTCCAACACCTAGGGTGCTGTCAGCACTCTGAAGATAGCAACCCTAATCATATTTGTTTTGGCCTGTCAGCCTCAAGGGCAGATGGTTGTCGTGCTGACTGAGAGAAAGGTATTGTGACAGGAGCCAAAGCTAGCCAGTAAAGGACCTTGAGGCTTCCACACAAAATGACTATTTCTAGAAACTTTCTAGATATTTCTAGAAAATGAGGCAGCAATCCGAAGATCAAAAGTTTTCTCAAATTCATGGTGCAGCAGGACTCAGGTTTGAATGGAGGCCAATGGGAATGTGACGTAACGGGCTCCCTCTTGGGTAGAGGTAGCTTCACCACCCGGACCTTGGAAAATTTGATCCCATCCCCTCATATCACGTGAATTCATCTGGTCAATGTGGCTTTGGGGAACGGTCAACTTCTCTTGCATGAGTTAGGGGGAAAACCTTCATGAGGGGTCCACAGAGTGTCATAGATAACCCTGAAGTTGCTGGACTTATATAGGCTTTTCCTGAGAATTCAGTAGCTCCCAAGAGAAAGAGTGACCTGGGGTTCCACAGGGCCACAGTTCCTGACGGGAGCAGTTCTACTTTTCCACATTCTTGATGAGTTCCTCTTTGGAGGAATTACTCCTTGTTACGAGATGCAAATCCGAAAATATTTTGTTGGGCACCTATTTGGCACCCAGCACTATGGGGGGCACCAGGAGAAGACAGGATCCTCAAGGATCTCACCACCTACTCATGAACTTGAAATCCGATTAGGTGTTCACGTGCTACTCACATCATCCTACTATAACACAGGAATGTCAGTGGACCACTTAATAACACTCATAAATGAACATATTGCCATTTCTAGTAGTACTTGTATTTTCTAGCTTAGCTCCTAACCTTACATATATGAGTTTTCTAGGGCTGCCATACCTAATTTCCAGAAACTGTGTGCCTTAAAATAACAGAAAGGTATTATCCCACAGTTCTGGAGGCCAGAAGTCTGAAATCAAGGTGCTGGCAGGGTGCCACTTCCTCTGGATTATGAGGAAAGATTGTGACTCCTTCAGCATATGACAGCTGCCAACATGGGCTTTTGGCTCCATCACTCCAGTCTCTGTCTCTGTGGCCACATTGCTTCCTCCTCTTCTCCTACCTGTGTCTGTCTTGGGAAAATATATGTGATTGCATTTAGGGGTAATTCAGAATACCTTTTCTCATGATCTTTAATGTGATTGCATTGGCAAAGACCCTTTTTCCAAATGAGGTCCATTTAGATGTTCTAGGAATTAGGACCTGGACTTACTCTTTTGGAGACAACTATCTAGCCCACTTCATCTTATAATTTATAGTTTTCAAAGAGATCTCACATGCACCATTTTATTTTATCACCTTAATATATTTACAATCCTAGAGCTTGAAAAAAGTACTCCAACTTCGAAGCCTTTCCCAACTTTGATTTTAAAATACAATTTTCACAACCCTATGGCTCACCAGCCTTTTACTTGCCCTAAAAGACGGGAGACAGCCCAATTTATGCTGACCTTTGTCATCTACTTCCTCTCCACGTCGGTAAATACTTTCAGTTCTTTTTCATCTCCCTCTTCTCATTACAGCCCTTTATAACTGAGCAGAGTGGGACTAGTGCAGAGAAGCACAGGACACACAATTTAATGCTTGTTTCCTGCTATTAGCTGCCAAGCCGACTATGAAGTGTTTTTTGGCCTCTGGCCTCTAGCTCTTCTCAAGATCTGTTAATGAATATGTTAGCTTTCCATAGCTGCCACAAATGACCATAAATTTAGTGGCTTAAAATAATACAAATTTATTATTTTATAGTTCTGTCGGTCAGAAGTCTGACATGGGTCTCACTGGGCTAAAATCGAGGTTTCAGCGGGGCTACTTTCCTATCTGAAGGCCAATGTGGGGAGAATCCATGACCTTTTCCAACCTCTAGAGGCAGCCCACATTCCTCCATTGGCTTGTGGCCCCTCCCTGCAGTTTCAAAGCCAGTGACGTTGTATCTCATCTGGATAATCCAGACGAGCCCAGTCTAATCTGAAAGACTGGACGTTTACTCACATCCATAAAGTCCCCTGTGCCATGTAAGGTGACACATTCAGAAGCTCAGGGATTAGAGTGAGGGCCTTCACAATGGGTGAGCACCAGGTCAAGCTGACAGAGAGTGCAGTCTTATTTTTCCAGCACAGAGTTTAGCTAATACAGCTCAGCACGACACATCCGGTTGGGTTACTTCACCTCTAGACCATTGAAAAATGGCCTCAGCCAAGGGCCAGGGCGGCGAGGACTGGCATCGGAAAGCCCACGACGAGAAAAAGGGCAAAGCCACCTTGAGCACTGGCTCTGGCTCATGGTGGTGTTTGCTTAGGTTCCCTCCCTTTCCTCCCACTTCTGTGCCTTTGTTTCCCTTTTCTTTCTTGCCTCCTCTTTCCTCTATCCCCTAAGCTGAAAGGTGCTGGGAAATATTTCCTGTGAAAGTTTGCCTATTTCTCGTCCTTGAGATACAAACTTCCCTCGGCCCAGCATGTCCTTAATGGATTCCTGCACTTACCCACAGTCCTCTGCCCAGGCAGGGCGAGGCAGGCGAACCTCGGCTTCTCCTTGCTCATCTCTCACCCTTTCATCATGTGGGCGAACAGAGGCTTCCTTAAGGGCCATGAAACATCCTAGAAGAACAGGCCATTGTGTGTTATCAATGGAGGCTTCAGAAACCTCTGGGTCAGGGTTTTTTAAAAAAAAATTTTAATAGGGAGGTGGGGAGTTTCTGTCTCAATCAGACAATGAGGACATTATCTTTATTTAAGAGAGAGAGATTACAATCAAATCCGAAACACTCCTTACAGCTTTATCCTCCTCTTTGCTGTACGTTGAGCACTCACACTCTGTGGATCCCAAACAATGTAAAAGGGAAGGAAAAATAAAAGTGAAAAGTAAATTCCATTCCCACAAAGCAGATTTTACTTTTAAATATGTTCTTTATCTTCATTTTTCACACATACACACACACACGGAAATAATGCAGGTGAGTTTTTGATATAACTACGCTCTCAGAATACCTCTTATATGAAATTAATTATAGGAGTCGGGGCACCATGGGAAAGGGAGAGGAAAACTGGAGACGGTGCAAACGGCGTGCCCGCCATCTTGTTTGTGCCCCAGTTTCGCGCATGCGCCGTTCCCCAGGACTCACGCTTCCCGCTCTCCGCTTCCCTCCGCGGTGCCTGAGCCTCTGCATTGCCCGACTCCGCAGGAGCGCCAGGGCGGCTCCTGCTCTTCCTAGACTCCCTGCAAAGGCGTTTGCCGAAATGTCCACAGAAGGAGGATTTAGTGGTACTAGCAGCAGTGATGCCAGCAAAGCCTAAGTCCTTCTGGCCTCGGGTCATGGAAGAAGTCCGGAATTTAGCAGTGAAAGATTTCTGAGTGCACGAACTCCCACTGGCTCGTTATTAAGAAGATTATGAGCCGGGCACGGTGGCTCAAGCCTGTAATCCCAGCACTTTGGGAGGCCGAGACGGGTGGATCACGAGGTCAGGAGATCGAGACCATCCTGGCTAACACGGTGAAACCCCGTCTCTACTAAAAAATACAAAAAACTAGCCGGGCGAGGTGGCAGGCGTCTGTAGTCCCAGCTACTCGGGAGGCTGAGGCAGGAGAATGGCGTGAACCCAGGAGGCGGAGCTTGAGGTGAGCTGAGATCGCGCCACTGCACTCCAGCCTGGGTGACAGAGCAAGACTCCGTCTCAAAAAAAAAAAAAAAAAGAAGATTATGAAACTGGATGAGGATGTGAAGATGATCAGTGCAGAGGCCCCTGTGCTCTTTGCCAGGGCGGCTCAGGTTTTTATCACGGAGTTGACTCTTCGAGCCTGGATTCACACACAGGATAACAAGTGCCAGACTCTACAGAGAAATGATATCCCCGTGGAATTTGATCAATTTGCTTTTCTCCTCCATATTGTTCCAAGAGATGAACTGAAACCTCCAAAGTGTCAGGAGGAGGTGCTGCAGTCTATAACTCCTGCTGAGCTAGTCCAGTACTATTTCACGCTGGCTCAGCAGCCCACCACCGTCCAAGTTCAGGGGCAGCAGTAAGAGCAGCCCACTGCCAGCTCCATGACCACCATCCGGCCTGGGCAGCTCATCATCGCACAGCCTCAGCAGGGCCAGACCACACCCGTGACAACACAGGTTGCAGAAGGTCAGCAGGTGCAGATTGTGCAGACCCAGCCACAGGGTCAAGCCCAATAGGCCCAGAGTGGCACTGGATGGTCCGTGCAGGTGACGCAGCAGATCCTCACTAACACAGGAGAGATCCAGCAGATCCCAGTGCAGCTGAAAGCTGGCCAACTGCAGTGTATCTGCTTAGCCCAGTCTGTATCAGGCACCCAGGTTCTGCAGGGATAGATCCAGACACTTGACACCAACTCTCAACCGATTACACAGACAGAGGTCCAGCGAAGACAGCAGTAGTTCAGCCAGTTCACAGGTGGACAGCAGCTCTACCAGATCCAGCAAGTAACCATACCTGCAGGCCAGGACCTGCCCAGCCCATGTTTATCCAGTCAGTCAACCAGCCCTCCGATGGGCAGGCCCCCCAGGTGACTGGCAACTGAGAGCCTGAGCTGGCAAGGCCAAGGACATCCAACACAATCGTTGCCATACAGCCCCAGGTCATGGGCACAGCCTCCCTCCCCAGAGGACCTGACTAACCTCAGTGCCTCCTGCAGGCTAGGGCGTTGGTGCACTAGGCCCCATGCCTGGGGGCCGAGATTCTCCACCAGAATGATGCAGTATTTTTTGTTTCCTTTTTTCTCCAAGGAATCAATATTTCAATATGTTGAGCTGTGTGTCCAATGCTATGAAATTAAAATATTAAATCACATATTTTTTGGCATTTTCTTGAAGAGTGTGGCTGAAGAAATATTTCTCCTTTTATTTCTTACAGCCACTTCTTTTTAGGAGCAAATCTGCCCGTGGGTGTGCGATATTTCTTGACCCTTGGAACAGTTGCTGCCCCCAAGATTTGCCATGTTGTTCTACCCTCAGATTGAATTAGGTAATATGTGTAGCTGCTTTTTCACTAGTGGTCCTCTCCCCATCCCTTACTCTTACCACGGAGCTCTGTGTATTTGCATCCAGAGGCCTTGGAAACAGTCCTTGCATTTAAGAGACCGATTTATTCCCCATGGAGAGTGGGTGGGTTCATTGCCACACTCTTTTCTCCTAGGGACCCAGGAGTCTAGGACTTTAGGCATTTGCTGCCCACCTCCCCTTTATTTTTTAAATGCATTAAAAACTGTGCTAGTCCCCTTTCCATGGTCTTCAAACTGCATGAAATGCAATACATCTATTTTAGATTAAAAAAAAAGAAATTAATGATAAGACCTTATCTTACTCAAAAGTTAGTCCTTAGATTTAACACAGTAAGAGTTGCAAAATAGACATATAGTTTCAGAAACATGCATGCAACTGATTGTTTTTGATTGTAAAATTTCTTATTTCCTTAATCATAGGAGTAGAAATGTGGATTTAGCTATCCTGTAGATAGCCACTGCAAAGGTGAATTTAGCCCACGGTTTAATGATTGGACTATATTCCTTTCTTTATTCATCTGAACATTTCAACCAGATGGAAGCACTGTGCTAGGTGTTGGGGACAAAATGATGACTAGGCCCATCCCGGCTTTGAGAGTTTCACAGTTAATAATTTCTAAATAATGAAGTAAAGACAAAGAAAGAGAAATCACAGGGCCCCATGAGAGAAAGAGAAGAACATAAAACTTACCTTGAATGTGAAGAAACTTCAGGAAGGAAGGGATATCCAAGCTGCATTTTAAAAATCAGCAGAATTTCCAGAAGGTGAATGGAGAGTAAGAGAGTGGGGGCTGAGAAGGTGAGCAAAAGGGAAGACGAAGAGGAAGAGCAAGAATGAGAGCGGCGGCATGACTTGAAAAGGACCTCAAAATGCTGGGTGTTCCTCAAGCACTGCATTAGAGCCCAGCCGGAGAGGGACGTGCGGGACTGTGTGCACATCAGGTTTGTTGTCTGTGTAGCATCTTCTCCCCCTTATTCTGGTAATGGCATCCTGGTTTTCTTTTCTTTTGTTTTCTTTTTTTTTTTTTTGAGACGGAGTCTCGCTCTTTCGCCCAGGCTGGAGTGCAGTGGCGCGATCTCAGCTCACTGCAAGCTCCACCTCCCGGGTTTACGCCATTCTCCTGCCTCAGCCTCCCAAGTAGCTGGGACTACAGGCGCCTGCCACCTCGCATGGCTAGTTTTTTGTATTTTTAGTAGAGACGGGGTTTCACCGTGTTAGCCAGGATGGTCTCGATCTGCTGACCTCCTGATCTGCCCGTCTTGGCCTCCCAAAGTGCTGGGATTACAGGCTTGAGCCACGGCGCCCGGCGGCATCCTGGTTTTCTTTGGGGGGAATTACTCCTGCTCTAACTTGTTTATGGTTGGGGGTAGGGCTCTACCTAACTCAGGGCTTCAAAGATGAGCACATGACCCATGCCTGGCTGCTCAGAACATCGCATCATTTTTGATACTACTAATGGGTTCAAGAAGAGGCAAACACTCAATGGATTACATAGAATGAGTAACACTAGCTGTTGTGACAGTCTCTAAATCTCAGTGGCTGGTTTCCCCCTCACGAAAACAAACAAACCAAACATCATGCACACTCCTGATCAGGCGGCTCTCCAGTGTGGCTTCCTCCAAGTGGTGACTCAGGGATCTAGGCTCATTTCCTCTAATGGTGCTGTCACCTGCTGAATGTTCTATGCCCAGACAATGAGTGAAGAAGTGAATGTGGAGTGGGGTCCAGGTCTGGAGGAGATGGCCTTCATTTTTACTTACATTCCCTCCCTGGCCCTGGGCACATGACCAGACCTAGATGCAGGGCACCTGGGAAATGTGCTTAGCTGTGTGCTCAGGAGGAGAAGGAAACAGTTTGGGGAGTACATTCTATTGGGTAACTCTTCCACACTCAAGCGGGGCTAATAAGAGCTTATGAGCCCAAGTCCTGGGGTTGTTATTTCCTGAAATAAATGGAAAAAGAGTTTTAGGGAGGCAGATGTGACAAGGAAAAAGTTTGGTCATGTGGTAGAACCGTGCCTGGTGCTTTGGCGAGCTTCTGCTCACCGAGCGAGAAGAACTCACCCGAGAAAGAAAGCAACATGAAAATAAGAGTTAAGAGAAAAAGAGGGTCCAGGGTAAGGCAGGCAAGATGCCTACAGTGCAAATTTAAGAAGGCAAGGCTGTGCACATGGGCTCTGTCTCTTAGGGCCCTGCTAGAGCAGAGTCAGTACTTGCATGACCTGCTGCCGCAAATCTTGCACCCCGGGCACAAAGATTGCCCAGACTTCACCCTGAGACAGAGAAAATCTTGGCAGTATTATTTGAACTCCTGGATCCATCTGAAACCAGTCCCATGCACTGGAATTTTCAGCCATGTGAACCAATAAACATACTTTCAAGCTAAAGCTTTTTAGGTTAGGTTTTTGTGCCTTGCTACCAACAGAATTCTGATAAATATGCGTTAGTGCCATAGAGAACCTGTGAAATGTTTTAAGCGGAAGAGTAGCAGAGAGAGGCCAACATAGTTAACCCAATCTACATGTAGCACATCCTGCCATTCTCACCAAAAACGGGCACTCGTCTCACCTCCATGCAGGTTTTTCTCTACATAAACAGTGTTAATCTTGCCATCAGGATTCACATCTGAACGCAAATTCAAAAGCTTTCTCTAAATCAAAATAGCCTTTATAAGACTGTATTTGATGCTTTTGACTTTCCTGCTTTTAGCCGAAAGGTTTTGAAGCTGGTACTGCAAGCAAAGGCCTTTCTGTAGCTTTTCTGGCCCCTCTAGGACCAATAAAAACTTGAAATCTTGCAGCAGGAAAATATGCTCCAAGTTCGCACTGAGTCTTAAGGAAGTGAGTAAGTGAAATGAGTGTTTGCTTTTTGGGATTGAATTTGATGCTGGGTAAGAACCAGAAAGTATACACAGTGTATTTGGGGCACTGCCAGTGTTAATCCCATAGGTGGCCTCAGTGGGGTGAACACTACCTTAGAGTCCAGAAACTGAAATAGAATCCACTGTCACTGTAAACTATTTCCTGAGACAGTGATCATCATTACCAACATTCCCTCTTCTGGTGTTTGTGAATCTCAAGGTTTAAATCAAAGGAACACTGGCTGCAATGGACATAAATAGCA